CTCTTTACACTCTTTCATACATACACTCTTTACATACACTCTTTACATCTTTACACTCTTTCATACACTCTTTACACTCTTTACATACTCTTTACACTCTTTCATACACTACACTCTTTACATACACTCTTTACATACACTCTTTCATACACTCTTTACACTCTTTTACACTCTTTACACACTCTTTCATACACTCTTTACACTCTTTACACTCTTTACACTCTTTCATACACTCTTTCATACACTCTTTACACTCTTTACACTCTTTCATACACTCTTTACATCTTTACACTCTTTCATACACTCTTTACATACACTCTTTCATACACTCTTTACATCTTTCACTCTTTTCATACACTCTTTTACACACTCTTACATACACTCTTTACATACACTCTTTACATACACTCTTTTCATACACTCTTTACATACACTCTTTACATACACTCTCATACACTCTTTACACACACTCTTTACATACACTCTTTACATACACTCTTTCATACACTCTTTCATACACTCTTTCATACACTCTTTACATACACTCATTTCATACACTCTTTCATACACTCTTTATACACTCTTCACACACTCTTTACATACACTCTTTCATACACTCTTTCATACACTCTTTACACTCTTTCATACACACTCTTTACATACACTCTTTCATACACTCTTTACACACTCTTTCACACTCTTTCATACACTCTATACACTCTTTACATACACTCTTTCATACACTCTTTCATACACTCTTTCATACACTCTTTACACTACACTCTTTACACTCTTTACACTCTTTACATCTTCATACACTCTTTACACACACTCTTTTACATACACACTCTTTACATACACTCTTTCATACACTCTTTCATACACTCTTTACATACACTCTTTCATACACTCTTTACACTCTTTACACACATCACTTTACATACACTCTTTCATACACTCTTTACACTCTTTACACTCTTTTCATACACACTCTTTACACACACTCTTACACACTCTTTACATACACTCTTTACATACACTCTTTCATACACTCTTTCATACACTCTTTACACTACACTCTACACTCTTTACATACACACTCTTTCATACACTCTTTACATACACTCTTCACACTCTTTACACTCTTTACATACACTCTTTCATACACTCTTTACACTCTTCATACACTCTTTCATGCTCTCTTTACACACACTCTTTACATACACTCTTCACATACACTCTTTCATACACTCTTTTACATACACTCTTTCATACACTCTTTCATACACTCTTTACATACACTCTGTCATACACTCTTTCACGCACTCTTTCATACACTCTTTACATACACTCTTTACATACACTCTGTTTCATACACTCTTTACACACACTCTTTACATACTCTTTCCTACACTCTTTACATACACTCTTTCATACACTCTTTCATACACTCTTTACACTCTTTACACTCTTTCACTCTTTTACATACACTCTTTCATACACTCTTTACATTTTTACACACACTCTTTACATACACTCTTTCATACACTCTTTCATACACTCTTTCATACACTCTCTTTTACACTCTTTATACACTCTTTCATACACTCTTTGCATACACTCTTTTCATACACTCTTTACATACACTCTTTCATACACTCTTTACATACACTCTTTCATACACTTTTGCATACACTCTTTCATACACTCTTTACATACACTCTTTCATACACTCTTTACATACACTCTTTCATACACTCTTTCATACATACACTCTTTCATACACTCTTTCATACACTCTTTCATGCTCTCTTTACATACACTCTTTCATACACTCTTTACATACACTCTTTCATACACTTTTTCACGCACTCTTTACATCTTTACACTCTTTCATACACTCTTTCATACACTCTTTCATACACTCTTTCATTCTACATACACTCTTTCATACACTCTTTACATACACTCTGTCATACACTCTTTCACGCACTCTTTCATACACTCTTTACATACACTCTTTACATACACTGTTTCATACACTCTTTACACACACTCTTTACATCTTTACACTCTTTACATACACTCTTTCATACACTCTTTCATACACTCTTTTACATACACTCTTTCATACACTCTTTACATACACTCTTTCATACACTTTTGCATACACTCTTTCATACACTCTTTACATACTCTTTCATACACTCTTTCATACACTTTTGCATACACTCTTTCATACACTCTTTACATACACTCTTTCGTACACTCTTTACATACACTCTTTCATACACTCTTTACATACACTCTTTCATACACTCTTTACACACACTCTTTACATACACTCTTCACATACACTCTTTACATACACTCTTTCATACACTTTCATACACTCTTTCATGCTCTCTTTACACACACTCTTTACATACACTCTTCACATACACTCTTTACATACACTCTTTCATACACTCTTTAGATACACTCTTTACATACACTCTTTACATACACTCTTTAGATACACTCTTTACATACACTCTTTACATACACTCTTTACATACACTCTTTACATACACTCTTTACATACACTCTTTACATACACTCTTTACATACACTCTTTACATACACTCTTTACATACACTCTTTACATACACTCTTTACATACACTCTTTAGATACACTCTTTACATACACTCTTTCATACACTTTTGCATACACTCTTTCATACACTCTTTACTCTTTACACTACACTCTTTTCATACACTCTTTACATACACTCTTTCATACACTCTTTACACTCTTTACATACACTCTTTCATACACTCTTTCATACACTCTTTCTCTTTACATACACTCTTTCATAAACTCTTTACATACACTCTGTCATACACTCTTTCACGCACTCTTTCATACACTCTTTACATACACTCTTTCATACACTCTTTCATACACTCTTTCATGCTCTCTTTACATACACTCTTTCATAAACTCTTTACATACACTCTGTCATACACTCTTTCACGCACTCTTTCATACACTCTTTACATACACTCTTTACATACACTGTTTCATACACTCTTTACACACACTCTTTACATACACTCTTTACATACACTCTTTCATACACTCTTTTACATACACTCTTTCATACACTCTTTCAATACACTCTTTACATACACTCTTTCATACACTCTTTCATACACTCTTTACACTCTTTCATACACTCTTTACATACACTCTTTCATACACTCTTTACACTCTTTACATACACTCTTTCATACACTCTTTACATACACTCTTTCATACACTCTTTCATACACTCTTTACATACACTCTTTCATACACTCTTTATACACTCTTTACATCTTTCATACACTCTTTCATACACTTTTGCATACACTCTTTCATACACTCTTTACATTACACTCTTTCATACACTCTTTACATACACTCTTTTACACTCTTTACACACACTCTTTACATACACTCTTTCATACACTCTTTATACACTCTTTACATACTCTTTCATACACTCTTTCACATACACTCTTTCATACACTCTTTTACACTCGCATACACTCTTTCATACACTCTTTACATACTCTTTACATACACTCTTTCATTTCATACACTCTTTGCATACACTCTTTCATACACTCTTTACATACATCTTTCATACACTCTTTCATACACTTTTGCATACACTCTTTCATACACTTTCTTTACATACACTCTTTCGTACACTCTTTACATACACTCTTTCATACACTCTTTACATACACACTCTTTACATACACTCTTTCATACACTCTTTCATACACTCTTTTACATACACTCTTTCATACACTCTTTCATACACTTCATACACTCTTTACATACACTCTTTCATACACTCTTTACACTACACTCTTTCATACACTCTTTCACACTCTTTACACTCTTTCATACACTCTTTACATACACTCTTTCATACACTCTTTCATACACTCTTTACATACACTCTTTCATACACTCTTTACATACACTCTTTACATACACTCTTTCATACACTCTTTACATACACTCTTTCATACACTCTTTCATACACTTTTACATACACTCTTTCATACACTCTTTACATACACTCTTTCATACACTCTTTACATGCACTCTTTACATACACTCTTTCATACACTCTTTCATACACGACACTCTTTACGTACACTCATGTTTTCACTGGTCTGCTGTTTGAATACTGTCATCAGGAATAAGGATTTCATCTTTCATCGGCGTGGACAAGATTCAAGATCAAGTTCACCTTGTTTTAGCACAACTGCGAGACTGAGATGAAGTGATCAATGCTTGTCTGTTTCGAAAATGAAATCATTTGAGCACAATTCATGTAAACTCTACTGCTCAAATCAGTAGGACTCTGAATTCAAGTCCTCTCCACTTGCACTGAAAACGCTGCCCCCTTCTGGTCACACGCGGTGCATCTCACGCGGTTATCCAGTATATTCTCCAATACTCGTTACGCTTTAATTAACCATAATCAGACGAGCCTCATCTCAGAAGGAAAACAGCCCTACTGTCCCCAAACCGCGGCACTGCACCCGCGCACGTCCCTCTGCGTATTTCCCGTTTACGTGCCTCTTTTGGAATATAAATTTAGGCAATCGTTTGGCGAGAGCAGCGCGCGACGCGGAAGATCCCAGGACACGTCTGTACGCGTGTGTGCGCGCTCTGCCGCCTCTACCGCTCCTGCCGCAGAGACCTCCGCGCCGCTCCTGCCGCCTCTGCCGCTCCCTCACCAGCTCTCCCCTGCCGCGCGCGTCAGTGTTTTGCATCGCTCCTCGATTTGCATTTGTTCTTCCTCGGGTTTTCCGCGCCGTACGCAGCCTCTCTCCAACCCCACCACGGTGCGCGACATTCCGCGATTCAACAACAATCCGGAGATACGTGCTCCTTTACGCACCCTGCTTTCATGTTTTATCACCAAATGATGCTGCGCGGACACGGGGGACATTTTTAATTTGTTTTTTTACATGTTTGTTGCGCATCTCCACGTGTGTTCGCGGTAAACGCACGCGGACGAGGCTATATCGCGGCAGTAAATTGCATTGTTTTCTTTTTTATCGCATCTTGTGTTGTCGTGACGAGCTGTGGAAGACGCCTGGCCGCACGAGCCCGCTGATACTCGGTGATCTTCGGTGGCGGTGACAGAAGACGCGTTTGGATATGTCGGAAGTATTGCCTTTCAACGAGGACAAAATGAGTCACTACGAAGGCGACGAGGGACACCTTTCGTTCACCTGCCGTCTGCAAGACACCAACAACTTCTTATGCGGAGCCCAGAACAAGCGCCCGCCGAAGCTGGGCCAGATAGGCAGGAGCAAGCGAGGTAATTACATCCATTCTAGTGTTTGGACAATGTTGAATGCGCACCGCAATTAGCCCGTATGAACCGTATTATTATGGGGCTCACGACGGGGCTCCGCTGTCTGCACAAAGGAGGAGCGAATTAACCAGAGGACGGGGAAAACGCGTTACATCTCTCATTGCAATTCTTAATATTGCATCCACTGCGTACAATACATTTTTATTTATTTTTTGGTGAATTTTGCGTTCACAATCCACACCAACCTAGAAAGTTCCCTTATATTTGGACATTTTGAGATGCAGGTTCCTTCATTTGCAATTCTTTCACATCTACAACAGCGTATATAGCTATAGTATAATACACTTTTCTATAAGATCTGACCGTATATGCATGGTATGGTTTAAAATGGTGATTCCCAAACCATTTTCTTGCTGCTTAATTGCTTTCTTCTAAGCGAGGATTGCACCAGGTCTAAACCAAGACTAAACCAGGACTAAACCAGGACCGAACCAGGTCTAAACCAGAACCAGATCCCGTATGGTGCCTTGTGGTTGATGGTCCCAACGCGTTTCAAATCCCCCCATCGCATTGCAACATGACTTGAGTGCGCAATGCCTTTTGGATAGACATCTCCATCCTCGCTCCTTCTCTCCTCCTCCTCCTCCTCCTCCTCTCTCCTCCTCCTCCCCCTCGCCATAATTCCGTGTCTGTCTCTTATCTATGTTCCACAGACGCCATGCATGTTGTACCCCCCTCCCTCCCCCCTCCTCCCTTTGTTCCGCGCGCACAGGTTGATCGCATGTTACAGACAGCGGTGCCACCGGAGTCCAAACTCGGGTAGACATTTTGGTTTGGAGTTTGGACATAGATGATGCTCAGATCTTCATGCCTCGTTTCGCATGTCGTCTTTTTTCACGTCTCCTCCTCTCCTCCTCTCATTCCCTCCTCTCTCTCTTTCACACGCGTAAAGCCGTTTCAGACGCAGCGCAGTGCTTCTATAGGGTCTGGCCGCTCAGGGGTCTGGTGGTTAGGTGGTTTTTGGTGAATTTTAAAGACGCAATGTGGCTAATTACGCTTCTATCTTATGGAAAGAAAGAAAGAAAGAAAGAAAGAAAAAAAAGAAAAAACAAAACAATTAAAGACAGTGTACATTATTGTAGTGCCATAAGCAACAGCATAGAGCAAAACGAACCTGGTGATGGCGACTATAGTTTAAATTGAAATGTTATTTTTGCTTCAAACATTCACATTCTAATCCTCTGCATCTCCATTTGGTCATTTGTAGGGATGTAACGATATCCAAATCTCACAATACGATATTATCACGACGTATTTTGGAGAGGCTAATCGAAAATATCACAGATAGATGGCACACTTTTTGCTTTTAAAACACCTTGACAAGATTTTGGTGTGAATTATTACCGTCATAATAAGAATTCAAGTAAAAAACATATTTCTTCATGTTTTCTGCACTGAAATGAATCATGGGATATGCAGTTCCTTATGTTTATTAGGTGGAGCTACTATAAAACAAGGCATTTAAACTAGGGAGACCAGATTTTCAAAATTAAACACATCCCTGATTTGGGTTGGTTGGAAATAATACAATTGTGAAACGAGAACATTGTTCTGCACTCTGCATTAATGTGAGTCAGTATAGTCACATTTTCTTTGTGTTTTTGTCATTTTTACGCAGCTTTTCTGTATTTTACTGAAACAAATGACAGTCTATGTCTCTCTTTACTGTTGGCAGGTGTCAATTTGGTCCAAAATAGAGACACCTGGAACATTTCTTGAACAAAATTGGGACAAATCAGTGGTTTTGTGTAAATCTGCTGGGACTGGGGACACAGGCTCAAAACTGTCCCGGGGCACTCAGCAGAGAAACTTGTGATTTGATATATTGTGACATCCCACAGTATTATCAATCAATCAGTCAATCAACAACTTTATTAATCCCAAAGAGCAATTCAGTCCACACATCTCTGGTCGTGCACAATCTATAAATAATAAAAGAAAAAGAAAAACAAATACATATGTTACGATACTAACATTTCTAACTCAATTTCAGTACTAAGAAATAGATTCAATAATCAAATAACTGAAATATTGTGATATCGTATTGTCAAAAGTCTCACAATAATATCATGGGACATCACAATATATTGAATTGCAAGTCTCTTTGCTTAAATGAATAGTTATAGTGATTTGTATGCCTTTCTTTGTGATTTTAACATCTTCCTTATTCTGTAAAGCATCATATTATAATAGCACCAATGACTTTTCAAGGCTTTTAAAAGGACAAAGTAGCATAATCAAATTTTTTGTAAACCTCTGCAAAATATTGCAATAAATATCAAACTGTGAAGTGCACATTGTGAAAATATTGATATTGTTACATCCCTACTCAATACTGATACCATGATAGTAAAAACACTTTCTTTAGACAATATACTGTGATTTTCCACATTAAATGGTAGTACTTTTTTATTTCTATCTATTCCATGTGTCTTATATGTATGTGTCTACTCTGTAGTGGTCCATAGGTTCCAGAGTGGTCCATGTTCAAGGAAAGGTTCAAGGCTTGTCGATGGGACGTCTTAAGTATCGATACCTTCTCAAATGAGTTTATTAGTTTTAGTATCAATTAGTATCTGATTTGTGATACTTTTGACAATAGAATAGGCTATGATGTTGCTGTTTTAAGAAAAATCCCAGCACCTACGCCAAAAATCTTCTGCAGGATTTAAAATGTTGCAACAAGCTCAAATGATTTTTGGCCTAAACCAGAATAAACCAGTCAAAACTATCATAAACAGGACTTAGTCAGGTAAACGTGGACTAGGCCTGAACTAAACTTAAAGGTGCACTGTGTACATTTTCTGCTTATCTCCATGAGAAAGTTATTGCATTTTTTATTTATTTATTTTTTTTTGCTTTGCATGTTCAACAGAATAACACTAGACATACACTAGTACTGTATATCCTGCATTCATTCAATTACTTTTCATTTGTAAACATACACAGTGAAAAACATGCATTCTTACTGTCCACAGATCTGACCTGTATGGCTGTAAGCTTTAATCCATCAGTGGAGTCTTAGTCGACCAAAATTTACATTAGACAATGAATCATTTTTATTTAGATGATGGGGATTTATATGAGACAACAGAAGCAGGAGAATTTAGTTAGTGAGGAAGCTAAAGATTTTGTATTTTTTGGTGTCTCTGTGTAAAAAGTCAGATTAACGTCATGATTCACAACTTGAATCTGTCTTTATATAAATACATTGTTTCCGGTTACTTTTTTCTGCATCAGTAATAGTTTTTGCATGACCTCCCCCTGCAGGTGTACTCTTGTGAGTGCCGTTTGGGTCAGACACACAGGGATATGGAATAGTTTTTTCAAGCTTTTGCTACATTCCAGTCTTAGTCGACTAATCGACTGGCAGGACATGTCTTTAGTCTGTAATATTCAAATGTGAACCAGCATGGGAAAATACTGGTTAAAGGAACCATACCAGGCTTTTTTCTGATCTATGAGATAATGTAGTTTCCTCATCACAAACACACCTGGAGTTGTGTTTTGTTTCATTCACATGTTTAACACACAAACCTGCACATTTAGGCTGAGTTTGTCTCTCAAACAGAAAACACTTCCAAATTGTTCCAAATTGTGATGTCATGTAGTAACACAAGAAGTGCTCCACTGTGTTTTTAAACTCCATGCACCTTCACTAGAATTTGGATTATTTCAGACCTGGCATTGACCATCTCTACAAAACTAAAGCTAAAGGAGCTGTCAACTTGAAAACTGTTTCATGACATCACAAGGTGGATCAGAGCATTTTGAACTTTAGTTAAAAAAAGTTACTCAAACATGTGTGAATGAAACAAAACACAATTCCAGGTCTGTTTTTGGAGGGAACAACATTAGAACATGTCTCAAAGCTCACAAGAGACCATTTGGTGTAAAATAACACTTTTAATGGCCAGTCTGCAGGATGAGTATTGGCTGAACTGTCAGAACATGTCAACTTGTATTCCTACTATGATCTGTCAGTGAAATAAGACTATTTATTAATAGTTTTTGGCTGTTAATAATATTTTTTTCTTTAAGTGTACTAATGCTGCTGCAAGATTAATCTCAATGAAATCGAAATTGCTATTTTGAATTCTCCACAAACACCAAAATACCCTGTTTAATATAATATGTATTGTATATATCGATCCCCGGGTCGCCCCGTGTGGAGTTTGCATGTTTCTCCCATGTCTGGATGGGTTTCCTCCGGGTGTTCCGGTTTCCCCCATCAACCCAAAACATGCTACATAGGTCTCCAAGAACAGTTAATAGTTGAGGTCAGTTAAATACAATCAATCAATGAATCTGCCCAGGGCACTGGTGCTAGTGGCTAGACACTTCACCTGCATTGCCTAGTATGAAAGTGGTGTGTGTGTGAGTGATGGTGGTGGTCGGAGGGACCGTTGGCGCCGATTGGCATGGCAGCTGCGCCTCAGTCTGCCCTATGGCAGCTGTGGCTACAACAGTAGCTTACCATCACCAGGTATAGAGTGAATGAATAATATATGCTGAATGTAATGCTATGTAAAGTGTCTTTGTGACAAAAATGTCTGTGAAAAGCGCTATATAAATGGGAACTTACTTACTTACTTACTTATAATATTCTGCAAAAACTTCTAACCCTGTACTTTAGATCTGTACTAATCAGTCACAATACAAACATTTCAAATTGGATTTATATGTTAAGGAATAGACTCAATACTCAATACAGATCCCAGGACCAAAATTACATTAAAAACCCTTTCTTTAGACATCATGTGATTTTCCACATTAAATAGTAGTACTTTGTTTTCTATTCCCATGTGTCCTTTGGTTCATAGTGGTCCATGGGTGTACTAGTCTTCTGCTTGTTCTGACACAGCTCAACATCATTCTAAAGACATTCAGGAAAGACACATTTCTGTCCTGTCAATGGGACTTTTAGTTTCAATAGTTTAATATGGGTTAATATCTGAGTTTTGATACTTTTGACAGTACTTGCATGAACATGTTCTGAAGTGTGATTCTCGTGTTAGTCGGATACAATTTGATATTTTCCCAAATGGTAAAGTATTCCTATAGGCCAGACTACACCAGTGTTTCAGTCAAGTTATAAAATGCATGTGTTACATACCTCCAGAGAGAAACACCCACACCACAGAGTGAGAACCACAGGCTGCGCTTTGGCCACACACAAAACAGGAATATACACACTGGTCATGTTTCTCTGACCCTCTCTCTACACCATCAATATCCAGAGCCAAGTGTCTTGCCCAAAGACTAAATGTTTATAAAGCACAGGTCTGTAGTAGATTATCTCTATATTAACTCTAGCCTTGTTATATGAAACCATCCCATTTGATCCCATTTGATCTATAACAGTGTATCTCAAACTGTGGTGCAGCGCTTCAGTTTGTGGTTTTGCCTCTTTTAGATGTCATTGCACTTTGAAAATCAGACTCTAATCAATACTAAATCAAAGCTAGATACTCATTGGAATAAAAACTAAAAAGTCCCATTGACAGGACAGAAATGAAGCTTTCCTGAATGTCTTTAGAATGATGTTGAGCTGTGTCAGAACAAGTAGAAGAGCACAAGGACTAGTATCAGAATCGGTACTGAGTTGGCGTATTTAGTCTATTCCTTAGGATTGAAATTGAGTTTGAAATTATAGTATTGTGACAAAACTAATTTGATCCACCTTCTGTTTTTCTTTGGATCATTTCTTGTAGTCCACTTTCAGACCTGGATTAGTCCTAGATTAGACCTGGAATAGTCTTGGTATAGACCTGGTTTAGATCTGGTGGTGCTGGGTGTAAAAAGTCTGATCTATAATCTTTGAGGTGAAGTGTAAGCAATAGCCCAGAGCGAGAACTTTTCAGGATGGTGGAGGATGGTGGAGGGAGTCCACTACCTACTTGTCTCCATGGAGCTGTCACTGCTTTAAAATGACCCCTCTATCATTTACTTTGTTGTTAAAAATATATTGAGATTGGATGCATTTTTACAGTGACTGGGGTTGCCTCACCACAGATCTGACCTGTAACATGGTACAAACCTTCTGCTTGTCTCCAAGGAGATAACTGATTTGTTGCTGTGGAATATTCTAAGTAAAGCAACAGCATTGTCATTAGTGAAAATGCTGTTGCTGCTTTCATGTTGATCTCACTTAGAGCTGCAGCTCTTTCCTCCTCCTCTCCTCCTATTGGCCAGCCTCTGTGCTCTGAGTGAGTGACAGGTGGACTCAGCCAGTCACAGTGAAGCGTGAACTCTCACAAGATGGAGATAGTTACAGATTCAGTACAGTATGAATCTACTGTATCTGCTGTATCCGTGACAATACCCAAATCTAGGCTCTGGAAGCCTGTTTTGATTGGTGTCTTTAATATGGACATTAGAGCAGACGTTTTGTTTTTTGTGTTTACAGCAAGTCCTCATTTTAACTCTTGTCCATAGGGGCTTTAGAGTTCACAAAGGAAATAAAGATGTTCATTTTTTGTCTTATCACACACCCCAACACAACTGGAAAAGTGACATAGTGCTTCTATAACTCACTTTAAAGGTTAAGGTTAAGAAGTCTCCTCCATAGAAACAGAAAGTTAAAACCACATTTCAGAATGTTGTCAATGAAGATAGATATGTTGCCTATGAAATACAGCATTTCTGTGGAAACAAACAGGGTGATGGCCTCCTCAAGGCCAAATAAGAATCAGGTTTGTGGAGATGCAAGCCCACACATGTATGTCCAAATTGAAAAGTTGTCAACATTTTTTGTTTGTTTTGGGCTGTTTGTCAGATGATGTCATCTTTTTTCACCCATATCCATGTTTGGCACACTCTCTCTTCTAATTGTTGGCCTGCTCCTGCTTTAGTCCTGGTTTAGCCTGTTTTAGACCTGTTTTAGTCCTGTTTTAGTCATGTTTTAGTCCTGGTTTTATTTTCCTTTGGTTCAGACAGACCCATTTTAGTTAAACTGACTAAATCTGTCTGACAAAATTCCCTGTTTGATTGGCCCTGGTCCAGTGCTGGTGCTCTACACTCAAACACATTTTAAAGGAGCGCTGTCTGTGTTCATGTCCTTTAAGGACCTGATTCATGACATATTTCACTCATATACTTCACTCATATACTGCCTTATATGAGGGCAGCTTATCACAATCTACTCTAAATCACAATCTGAGTTTGCACACTTATCAAATTACAATAATACAGTGTACTCTGCAAACAACAAAATATCATTTTTTAAAATTATTATTATTTTTATATGGAAACATCTTGTAGTTCAGGCCATCACAAATATATTCTGAAACATTTTTCTTTTCATATGTGACAGTTTGGACTGTTCATGAGACTCTTCCTCAGAGTCTCATGATGTTTCTGTGATTGATTTACTTCTCTGTTTTGACCAAAAAACGTTGCCCCTAAGTAGCGCCAGCAGGCTTAGTTACAGGTCAGGTCTGTGGAGGGGCGACGGAATACATATATTTTTTTAAGATATTAAAACACCTGTTATTAGTACAAAATACACAAGTCCAGTGCCATACTGTGGAACATTCCAGGACAAGTAATAACTTCTCCATGGTGATGAGCAGGTAGCAGTTCCCTCACTAGTTTCATAGTGCACCTTTAACTTGACTTCCTCATTCCTAAAGTGTGATTTGATAAAGTGGCTCACAGACACAGACAAGTGTGATCTGTGAGACACTGAGAGACTGAAGGATCTCACTGTGGTTTGGGCTCCTTGAGACTGGAAACCAACTGAAAACTTGGGCTGATTTCTACCTTTGTTTTTCACCAAATACAAACAACCTTTTCAAAAATGTTTGTTTAATCACAAACTGTATCAAATATGAAAATACATTGTGTAGTAATCATCTTTCATAACATGGGATTACCATGTCACTAACTCCTGGTGCACTTTAAACTTGGCCTAGTCTAGCTTCTTGCAGCATCCTCCCTCGTGCACTTCTGTCACAGTTATAACCATAGATCTGTGCTCATGACCGTGTTCACTTTAAACCTCTGCAGTCTCTCTCAACTAACGTGAGACGTGTCATCAGTAAAAAAGAGAACATTTTAAACCTAGTTTTCAGTTTCCAGCTGATGGAGGTAGAAGTGACACCACACAGAACTGTCAAACTGTGAGGTTTCTTCTCAAAACATAACATGATTAAAATGTGTTTTCTGTCTTTTTTAGTGATTGAAGATGAAAATGCAGAGGAGGACGCACAGCAAAACGGGACAGAGAAAACTCCAGCAGAGGCTTAGACCGTGCTCCATTCAAACTACCCCTTCTTCTACCCCTCTGACCCCATCCCCCTCTCCCTCCCTCTGTCCCGTCCTCCCTCCCTCTCCTCCAGACATTTTCTACCAGTTTGAATCCAAAGACACTGTACATAAGCACTTTTTTCATGGGGCAGCAAGCGACACTTCCAGCCATGACCACCGGGACCCTCCCTCCTCCAGATCTTCACCCACACACAGACAGTCTACTCCAGGAGACATATTATGCATCTCTGTGGCATTTTCAAACAGTTATGGACTCATGTTTTTGCATTGGTGTTTAATTTTTTAACTCAATATAACAAAGTATTCTAGTGGATCGCTCACTACGTTTACAAGTATGCAGAGAAAACCACATCTCAGCTCTAATCTGATTTGGAGGAGCTGCTATTCAGATTTGCCAGTGTTATCTGATTAAGCCACAAGCAGTGTTGGGAAGTAACTAAATATGGACAAGAAAACGTCTCAGTACAATTACACTTCAATGTGGTGGCATTCAGAGTGCAATTACACACAATTAAAGGGATACATTGCAGTACTTGAAATGAAATTCCTGCTGTAAACTGCGTGGAAGTGAAAAACAATGAAAATCTGCTCTTGTGGTGAGTGAATGTGCAATTTTTTCATCCTTAAAGGCACTGTACCTGATTTTTACTCTCATAAAAACCATGTGAACAACAGAACTAGTTGATTTGAGACAGTTTGCAGTGGTCCAAATTGATCTCTCACTTACCTTATGCATTCAGGGCATCCTAATTATTCACCGTGATGAGTTTACAGTATAAGCACTAGGGATGTAACAACAGCCAAATTATCGTGATATTGTATTGTCAAAAGTCTCTCAGTAATATCGTGGATCATCACAATATATTGAATCACAAGTGTCTGTGCTTAAATTCATTGTTATGGTGCAGCAACAGCTAAAAGAAACAAAAGGAACTACATAGACCACAATTCTTTGCTGTGTTTCAGTCCAATTTACATAATGAAATAACTTATGAAGCACTTTTAAAGCTTAAGTCTTTGATTTACGACAGAACCAAAGGCTTATCAAGGCATTTTAAAGGAAATGGTAGTATATTCACAATGTTGTTAGCCTTCACAAAATATCACAATAAATATTGTACCGTGACATCCATATCGACAAAGTATCGAACTGAGAAATTTGGATATTGTTACATCCCTAATAAGCACTTTTCACAACTTTTGCTGCCATGTTAATGCTAACAACAACTAGCATCACAGCACACTTTCTGATTCTCGGACAATAAAATGATTTATAATTAGAAGCAGCCAGTACACAGCAGACTTATTTTGACCTAAAAACTTGCTTATACAATATTGAAATACATCAGAGTTACATTTTCAAAGTATTCTTCCCAACACTGGTTAGAAGAGGCATTCAACTGCACAGGGCAAGAAACAGCCAGGAAAATATCAGATGTGTTTTGAATATAGCAGTTATAGCTTCTAAAGTTATAATGCTACATTACTAGACGCCCCTGAACGTCTCTCAGTTCCCTGGTTGTAGTTGTTTCCTTTCGGGGCTGCATGCAAATTTCAAAACAGTGATCTAACTATGGAGAAATCAGACTATAATCGGAGAACAAGAGTAGCCGGATTACTCTGCGTAAGGTAAACGTAGTGAATGCATATTTCACGGATTAGGTGAACAATGGGGACAAAAAGGCAACAGATCGATGCTTTGAAGTGGCCGGAATGAGTCCAGCGATGATGTATGGATTTTTAAAAGAAAGACGAGCAATTCACCTTTTAATTTCAACGATTAATTTTGAGGAGACAGCACTTCTCAGAAATGGGATTACTCAAGCAAGCAAGAACAAACCAAAACTCCAGAGGTGTTTTTGACAAAGAACCGACATGGTGGAACGGTTCATTTTCTTTTTTTTGCATAATATGTCTCCTTTAAACAATCTTGAACCCAGGTTTTTGGCCATAGAGACGTGCATTTTTCAAAGATCCAATATGGAGAACGAGGAGGAAGAAGAGGAGAAAACAGGAACAGCGCTGTTGAAAATGCAGAAATCAGGGACAGGAAAGACTAACTAACTTTAAAGCACACAAATGTATTAATCAGAAGTTCCTATACTGGTCATTTTGAAGGAACGGTGTGTAAATATATGGAAAAGGTAGCTGATATTTTATTGCACAGAAGTTGGACCGATGTTTTGTGAAAATACTGATTATTTATTGAAGTAAATGAGGCTAGAGGAGCGTCTGAGTGAGTGAATGTGATTTTCCATGTTCTGGGGGTGTCCCATGAAGAAAGCCTGACTTATTTGAACACGTCGAGCTTAAGTTGTTCTTATGTTTGTCCCGTTGATACTTCACAGCAGATGTCATCAACATTCCCTGGGAATGAGGCTCACTGGAAGCTCTGCTCTGTCTGAAGGTGTGTTACTCAAGTTAGACTTTAATCTGATCTTTTTTTTGACACAATCTGACCATAAAGAAGGACCTTAGCGGGAACTATCACACTGGAACACTTGTATTGACCACAAGCTCCTGAAAATGTGCTCTTGTCCATTTTGTAGTTTTCTTGAGTTTTTAGACAATCTAAAAACTTCTCAAGCAGTGTTTGCTCAATTGTGCATTGTATCACCATGGAAACAGCTTAACATTCCCCCATAGACATACATAGAACTCCCCCAGTCACTGCAAAGTAGTGTTGTAGTACTTGAGACCGGTCTTGATCTCGAGACTGGCCTCTTGATGACGTTTCTGACTCAACCATGTTTGGACTCGGTCCTGTCTCGGTCTTGAAGGTGCTTGGGCTCAGTCTTGTCTCGGTCTCGAGATCTGATACTCTACGAGTGATAAAATAGAGACAGATTTATAAAAACGTTAATATATTTGTTCCAAAATAACTGTAAAATACAAACAAATGTAGAAAACGACAAAGATGGTCTCATTTTGATCTCTCTCATCTCATTTCATCTTGGCCTCGGCCTTTAAAAGTCTTGGTCTTGTCTCGGTCTTGGGACCCTGTGGTCTCGGACAGGTCTTGAGCTCGATTGGTGAGATCTTGACTACAACACTACTGCAAAGTATAAGCACTTGTACTGTAGGTTTAACCAAGTCTGGATCAAATTCAGTCAGTCAGACTAACATTTCTTTGCAGTTCTTAGTTCCTGAATTGAAGCAAAACATGAGCTGACTTCTACTGGTTCTCCATATTGTTTGGGGATAGATTTGTATTTAAAGCAGAGGAGATGGAGAGTAAGTCAGAGTGCAGTTACTTCAAAATACTCAAGAAGAAGTACAAAGTAGTGGTCCTTGAAACACAAATGCTGAAATTATTTCAGATTGTCCATATAAAACTTTTGACACTCACAGTGGGAAGAGGAACCACACATTTTTCTCAAGTAAGAGTACTGTTACACTGTACTATTTAAAGTACTCAAATAACATTACAGTTCCTCTCTCTGTCCCCAAACAAATATTTCAGATTTTAAACTTTTCTACCCCTTCACCAATTGCAGTAGCTTCCTGTAGCCATTTAAAGGCACTGTACCTGATTTTGTCTTCAGTTTGCTGTGGTCTAGAGTTCTTCCTCACTTACATTATGCGTTCTGAGCGTCCTCATTATTCACCACGACAAGGTTTTCACAGCTTTAGACTAGATCAGAGCAGAGTTTTGCCATCACTGTAAAACTAACTACAACTAGCATGCCAACAGCGTACTTTCTGATTCTTGCACAATATAACATAACAATATAACAGTAGACAGGTGACTTCTTTTGACCTTAAGAGGTGCTTATACAATAGATCTATATCTGAACTGGGGCAAGACACATTTTGCTAAAAAAAAACCAAAAAAACCAAAAAAACAACAACAACAACAACAACAAAAAACAGGTACAGTCCTTGAACCCCCAGACCCCTCCACCCCCTTCCTCCTCCTGCTTCATGGGATGCCCCTGGTGGTGGTGTGCGATGCTGCGGTCTGAGTGCTTTTGTTACATTTGCGGCCGAGCTCATTTCTACGATGTACCTCGTGCAGTTTGTAAAGCCCAGGACTGAGGGCCCTTGATACTGTAACACTGATACTTGTACACAGAATATTTATATGTGTGCATATGATTACTATTGTGTGTGTGCCAAAACCTCACGCAGGAACTACTACGATCAAGCTCTTTCATTTCACTGTGTTGATTTATTGTGCTGTTTATGGGGGGTTGTTTTGTGTCTTTATGCACCTTCTGCCTGATTATTACACTTGTATTATGGTTTGTGTTAGACACTCGGCTCTGGACCCTACTCTGTATATATGGACATGTAGCTCTGGTTATCACAGTAACATATCTGTTGCTATAATGTCTAAAATGTTTTGACAGTCTTATGTTTGTTTCTTTTTTAAAGTTACTTCTGTTACACGTTAACTACGAAAGCATTTGACAAACCCTAACCTTACCCTTACTTTAACATCACACAGTTTAATCCTGCTTCTAAACTTAACTAAACCTTGATCATAACCATTCCTTTCACCCAGACCTTAACCAGAACCTGCTTCATCACTTCTAATCTTTTCTAATGAGCATCAGAGCCGAGCATCCCTCCAGAGTCCAGACCCGACCCTCTACCATGAGCCTTGTATTATTTTACATGGAGCTGCTGATGTTGATGTGTTCTATACAGACTCCAAAGCTGTTTTAAAGCTCCCTGAGTGTCAGTGCACTGACATGTGATCACATGGACACTGGAAATATTACACAAACACACTGACTTTATCAGATTTTCGCTGCAAAACTTTTATCAAATTCTGCATTGAAATCAATGGATTCCTGCCACAAACAGAGTGGTAAGGTAAATAAGGTATATTAGCGTTTTTTTTTTTTTTTTTTTTTTTTATAAAAATGTTAGATGATTTAAATTTGCATTTGAATGTGAAGAAATTTACTCATTAAATTTTGAAAAGTTATATGATATGAACAAAATTTGTAATTAAAAAACAATTGTTAACAAAATAAACACATTCATTTATTGGATCTAAGTATTAAAAATATAACATGTTAAAAAACCCTAACCTTGCCCTTAAAAAAAAAAAAAAAGGTTTATCAAATGTAGCCATCTTCTGTAAAATAAGGATGCAAAACAACCTACCATTTTATAGATTTTTTTGGATTTATTTTGTATTTCTTTCTTGGGTTGCCATTTTGTAGGGCTCTTTCTCCAGCGTGCATGCAGAGTACAGATTCATGCATGTACCAGTGTAACACCTCGTAACGCTTCGAATGACCTCCAAACACGTTATTCTCAAATACACTGTACAAATTAGCCTCGACCTTGTAATAACTATGACAAATATTTATTCGTTTAGTGCTTGTGGTTTACAATATGGAAAAATCTCATATTTGATGTTGTATTTTGATTTTTAAAAGTGTAGCAAAAAACACAAAAATATAGTTTTGTATCAAGACAAAAAATGATCGCAAATAGCAAAAATGATGGCTGAAATTTTTTGAGTTTCTTGTACAAAGATTCCCCGGTTGTTATTAAATTGTGTCTATTTTGTTTAATTGAAAAATAGATAAGCAACATAATAACAGCATGAGTTCAATCTTCACTGTTGTCGAAATTTGGGTTCTCAACTGGTGGTTCTATTCCCAAAAGTGAACATTTCTGAATATATTTTTGTTGTTTTGGCAATTTAAACACCCTGTACCTGATTTTTACTGTCTTAAAAATGTGAATAACTACTTTCATTTTAAACAGTTTGCAGTGGTCCAAAGTTATTCCTCATTTACGTTATGCATTAAGAGCATCTTCATTATTCACCACGTTGAATTTATAAGTGCTTTTCACAACTTTCAGAGACCAGAGTGGAGCATGCTAACTGTGCACTACCTGAAAATGTTTTGTAATTAGATGCAGACAGTCCACAGTGGACATATTTTGGGAAAAATCAGGTACAGGCCCTTTAAATTGTGTAATGATTTCATAAGTAGCCGGGTGAAAGTACTTGAGCTCAAAGACCCACGTTTGCCCACTGACTGAAATGTCGACCGTTCAATCCTTACGGTTGTTGTGTCCTTGGGCAAGACACTTCACTAACTTGCTTAAGTGTGAGCGTGTGCATGTATGAGTTAAGGCACGGAACAGTAACCTTGCCTCGCCCCTCGCCTGGTCCGCCCCAGGGCAAGTGTGGCTGCAGAGTGAATGAGTTTGTACCAAATTGCCATTTGGAGTATCTGAAAAACTTCTATTCAAGAGGAATGCATTTGTTATTCTTCTGAAGTAGCCTCATGAAGAAAAAGCACTGTTACTTTAAAATAATGTTAGCAAAAAGTACTCAAATAGTACTCGAGTAGCAACGTTATACTGTTCAATGTTTACATTTCAGTAGCTTTTACAACAGACATGCAACTATTGTTTTGAATACTGTGATCACTACTACTACTATTACTACTATTGCTGTTACTACTACTACTTCTGTTACTACTTCAAATACTTTTATTGTATTGGACCAGTTGAGAACCCAGAATGTTTAAACGCAGCTGTTGTCAGTATTTTTAAAATGAACCTGGGGAAATGTACATCACTGCTTCCCAATGCAATAAATGTCTGTTTGCATCTACTCCACTGTCCCTTTATTCAAGCTGAGAGAACACAAGAACACGAGTACACAAGTACCCAAGTACACGAGAACACAAGAACATAAGTATACAAGAACATAAGAACAAAGTACACAAGAACTTGAGAACACAAGTACAAAAAACATGAGAACAGAAGTACAAGAGAACACAAATATATGAGAGCACAAGAACATGAGACCTCAAGAACACAAGTACACGAAAACACAAGTACAACAAGAGAACAAGAACATAAGTATACAAGAAAATGAGAACTCAAGTGCACAAGAGCATAAGAACACAAATACACAAGAGCATGAAGACATAAGAAAACAAGTACACTAGAACACAAGAAAGCGAGGACATAAAAACAAATACACAAGAACATAAGAACATGAGGACATAAAAACACAAATACACAAGAACATAAGAACATGAGGACATAAAAACAAATAACAAGACATACACAAATAAAATAAGACAAAAGAAACAGACAAAACACAAATACACAAGAACATGAGGACATAAAACACAAATACACAAGAACACAAGAATGTGAGGACATAAAACACAAATAACACAAGAACACAAACATGAACATAAAAACAAATACACAAGAACACAAGAAGAACATAAACACAGACAAACAAAAGAACATGAGGACATAAAAACACAAATACACAAGAACATAAGAACATGAGGACATAAAAACACAAATACACAAGAACATAAGAACATGAGGACATAAAACACAAATACACAAGAACACAAGAACATGAGGACATAAAACACAAATACACAAGAACATGAGGACATAAAACACAAATACACAAGAATGAGGACATAAAACACAAATACACAAGAACACAAGAACATGAGGACATAAAACACAAATACACAAGAACACAAGAACATGAGGACATAAAAACACAAATACACAAGAACACAAGAACATGAGGACATAAAACACAAATACACAAGAACATGAGGACATAAAAACACAAATACACAAGAACACAAGAACGTGAGGACATAAAACACAAATACACAAGAACATGAGGACATAAAAACAAATACACAAGAACATGAGGACATAAAACACAAATACACGAGAACACAAGATAACATGAAGTTACTCCATGACTGATACACGACACCAGGTGTTTTTGATACTACTACTGTACTACTGTACTGCTGCTGCTGCTGCTGAATTAACTAATCTGACCTTTTATGCTATGTTCTGTGCTCTGTGTTCTAATGTAGTTTCCTCATCACACACAGACCTGGAGTTGTGTTTTGTTTCATTCACACATTTAACACACTAAACATATTTAGGCTGAGTTCTCTCAAACAGAAAACACTGTTCTTCTTGTGATGTCATGCAGTAATACAGGAAGTGTTACTGAACTAAAGGTAAAAGGTAACTACCACTTCATGACATCACAAGGTGGAACAGAGTGTTTTGAGCTTTGGAGAATTAAACAGACTAATAATAAAGGATTACTCAAATGTGTGAATGAAACTAAACACATCTCCAGGTGTTTTTGAGGAGTGAGCAACATTAGAACATGGCTTGATGCTCACAACAGTCGGTTTGTGTAATATAGGACCTTTGACTTGGTATTACTTTGTTGTTTCCAATATATTCATATAACTAGTGCTTAGACTTCTACTGTGCACACCACCATTCAAACATCAATTATACGGAGGAACTGAGGCATTACAAAGTCTGTGAGGCAGCGTTAGGCCTTCATCACTTATATAACACATACAAGTTTGTATAGTCTCCCAGGCTCTGAGCAGCTCTGTGCACTAGAACAGGAGATCTACAGATGTGTATGTATCATGTACGAGTCTGGTGGGGAGAGCATTCACAGTTACACTTCAAACTGTCTTCAAAATAAAGTTACTCAAGTAGAAAGTAATGGTTCAAGGAATTCTTCAAGTAAGAGTAAGAACGTTTTTGGGGAAATTGCTACTCAAGTAAGAGGAACTTAAAAAGGAACTGTCTGGATGTAACTCCTGATTTATAATTTGAAGTTAATCTAATCTGAAGGATACATATTGAATAATACAGGAATAATGTTTCCACAAAAATGAGAAAAATCTGAAGGACAACTGCAAGTGTTCAAATCATTTAAAGGAACAGTCACTTTTCTAGTTTGTAACCAAGGAGACATTTTTGTTTTGCCTGAGTTCCGCAATATCAAATTAAAAGTACCTAGAGTTGTATTTTTTCTGCTGAAATGACCCTGAAACACATGCATTCTCACCGTGAGCTGGCTCACCTCTCCAAAAATCTAACCTGTAACTTGGCCTGGCAACTCAACCTACTTGTCTCCATGGAGATAGATACATTTAATGCCATACTGTGGAATAGGCGTCAAGATTATTATGGCCTAAATAATTGTGATGAACGCTGAAAGGTGTATTGTGTAACTTTTGTGGTGGAGGGTCCTTCAAATGCATTTCTTCATGTGGATGTTATTGCTTTGTCTCTAATGTTTCACAGTGTGGCATTAAACCTTTCTATCTTCACTGAGACCAAACCAGACCAAGTTATAGGTCAGATTTGTGGAGAAGCAAACCCCAGTCACAGTCAAAATGTTTGTTTTTCAAGGTATTTTTAAGCTATAAAACCACCTGTAACTGAACAAATGTAAGGTAGAGCTGTTTCATGTCACACTGTGGAACATTCCAGACAGAGCACAGAAACAGGCAAGCAGGTTACATAAAGCACCTTTAATATCTGGACTAATGATTAAACCATATTTAAATGACTGTTATATTATTGTACTTTATCATAACAGAAAACAGCAGTGATCTAGTGGAGCACATTATGCAGAAGTGTCATTTTTCTGGTCGTTCTGCTCATATCAGTGTTTCAGAAGACTTCACAACATCTCCAGCTCAATCGCATTTAACACAGAGGAGGACTGATTAAAAAGGATCTTGTTCAAATGTACATTTCTGTTGTAATGCATTGAGTTCTTGGGTCTTGTCACTAATATGATCAGGTTCAACATTTGTGAATTTACCTTTTAGATTTTTCATGGTAAAATACAAAGTAATCAAAAGGAAAATCTGTCTCCTGCCTCCATCTGGGAGTATAACATCATTAACTGAGAGTCCAGTTGTGAGTCTAGTTATGGGTCCAGTTATGGGTCTG